ACGTACTCACTCATGCGAGATATTTAACTATTTATACTAAATTAATTCGCTTATTTTAATCTCAATTAGTTAATGATTATCTTTTTTCTAAGACACTGTAGTTTGATCTATATTAGGCACTTAAAGCCCCACACGTTCTCTTGTATTATAAATAGAGACTCCCCCCCATTTCATTTTCTCCAAGTTGTTTTCAATCACACTTTCTTCCTCTTCTCTCCACTACTCTCCAAGCTTTTCGAAATCAACATGGCCGGAACTTCGCCGTGCGCTTCCTGCAAGTTGCTGCGACGCCGATGCGCCAAAGACTGCATTTTTGCTCCTTACTTTCCTTCTGATGATCCCCACAAGTTTGCCATTGTTCACAAGGTCTTTGGTGCCAGCAATGTTAGCAAAATGTTACAGGTCCTACTTTTATATACATTCTCTACTTTTCATCTTTATTTCTCGTTGACGGGGTTCACGAGGGTTTCAACTTTCAACCCTCAAAACATCTTTCAACAACGAGAAGAAAAATATCACTAGACGATGGAAAAGCTAGTTGGCCTAAATGCTTTATTTAAAACGAACCATAACATTAAGCGTTGTCGTTTAATTGAATTATTCGTATGTATGTTGCAGGAGCTTCCGGCTCATCAGAGAGCAGATGCAGTGAGCAGTTTAGTTTATGAAGCAAATGCAAGAATGAGGGACCCAGTGTACGGATGCGTTGGGGCCATCTCTTACCTGCAAAACCAAGTCTCCGAGCTACAAATGCAGCTTGCTGTGGTCCAAGCTGAGATCCTCTGCACCCAAATGCAGCATGAGCCCATGGTCCCTACCCCACAACAGATAATGGACGATCCGGATGATCAGAAATCATATTTTCTCCAGAACAACAATCTCGCCCAGTACCTCAGTTTTCCCTCGTCCAGCAATGTAATCCATGACTCTCTCCAGAGGGAGAACATTTTTGGACACGACATGGTTTCTTAATAAACTTTGTAATATCATGTATTAGACTTTTAATAAACTAATTAGTCTGTTCTAATTTGTTATTTGGTAATTAAAAGTATCACATTAATCTACAAAGTTTCACACTGTTCTTGCGTAATATTACTTTTTCCTTTTCCCACACTTAAATCTTTAAGCGGATTTTTAAAGGCAAAATCTACAAGCACTTAATTTTGAGAGAGTCTGAACTCTGAAGCAATGGTTTTTACCTAAGAAGCCAAAGTTTGGAATTCATGGACCTCGATCCTGTTGCAAGAAAGACAAATCCCGAATATACTGCTCTTCTTTCCCAAAACCCTAAATTTCAAAAAAGTTTCCACTTAAGACAAAGAATATAAGGAGTTTCTCTACTATTTAATTGATAGTTCATTCTCATGTTTTCTCACATGGGCAAAGATACCATTGTGTTTGTTTTAAAGGTATTGAAAAGCACCATTCAGATAAGTGCTTTTAGAACTAGAAGTGAGAAACTACCACTAATATTCAAAATTTCAGTGGCTTATGTTAATGTTAGGCTTGCAGCTGCTGCTTTGCTTCCATTTCTGACTCAATTAGTTGCTCATTAAACTAGTAATTTCCAGCCTAATCTGCACGATTAAGAAAAGTTAAAAACGTGGCATGCCGCCACCTGTTGCAGATTGTTCTTCTAGCTTGTTCACGTGGGGTGTAGTGCAAGAAGTGGTTCAGTGACCAGTCCCTGCGAAGTATACAGTAACAGAAATTAATATCAATTTTTAAGAGATGCTATCTAAGCATTTTTTTTTTGACAAGGATTGTCTGCCCTTCTACTTCCAGTGCTTTTCTGTGTCTTTCTGTTTGTGTGGTCACGGTTAAATCACGTTAACATTTTAAATTGTTTTTTATAAAGATATAATAAGACAAAAATGAATAGTAATATAAAATGTTGACGTGGCTTAATCGTGACCATACAAACAGGAGGGCACGGAAGGGCACTGGAAGTGGGAGGGCAGACAATCCTTGCTTTTTTTTATTTTTATTTTATTTTTTTTATCTTTCATATAGCTGTTGTTAATACCTGTCATTCGATTGTATTCAATTTGTTCAATCCAACCGTCGAAAATTAAGAAGGGTGCCGAAAAAAAAAAAACACCACTCTAGTTCTTTAGTTCTACCATAATATGATTTTTTTTAATCCATCTCTCAATACAAGTGATTTCCAAACATTTTTTTTTTTATTTCTATGCACATTCACGATTTATATACTTTATAAATTGAATAAATAAATAAAAAAAGATCGAAATAAACATCAGTGATCAGTCTATAAAGAAGAAAAGAGGAATATTACTCTACATTATATGTCGAATCAAATGAAATAATTCAAATGGGTAGGGAAAAACAAAAGGCAACACCTGAAGATTCCTCAAGCTTTGTTTAATCTAGAAGCATTAATCTCCTAAGTCAAACTTAAAAGCATTTTTTATTTTTACTTTCACCTATCCCCCTATCAAATCCTTCTTTTTGTGCAGTTCTTTTGTGGGTGTTTCTTGCTGTACTTATGTGGTATGGTTCTCACCGGGATTAGATTCTCTCTGGATCTCCTTATTGAGAGTTTCAAGGATTAATTAATAACAACCGTTCATCAAAGATCGTGCGGTCATAATTTTTTTATTATATATTTTTTCATACAAAACGAGACTACTTTACTTTTGAAAAAATAAAAAGCATTCAATTGTGATCGCACGATCTTTGATGAACAATTGGCATTAATTGATCCCTTAGATCCTCAGATATCCGGAGAGGATCTAATTCCATTCTCACCAGTGCCACCATACAAGAAACTGGTATTAAAATATTAATTTTGGAGACTAATTGTTTGCTAAATTGTGGTTTTCGTGGACATTTTCATGCTTTTTAATTTCCTTTTGCTCTTATCTTTTGTAATATATTGATGAAAGGTGACTGATCTTGTAGTCTTCTGTTTGTTTTGGTTGTACTAAGGGATTAATCTTTCTCTTGTACTGATAATAATTTTTATTAACATTCCAAATATCTAATTCTGCACTAAACATTTTATATTTAGAAAGAAAAATATTTTTATGAGGAATGACGATTAGATTTTTAGAACGTCAATAGTAATTATCTTTCTTGATTGATAATTAGTTAATCTTTTAGAGAGTGATCAAAGAATGATAAGTTTTCCTTTCATAACGAGCACACAGCAAAACTAAAAGTAGTAGATTACTTATCACATCATGCAGGTCCCTCTTCACGAATAAGCACCTCAAAATTCGCTTGCAAGTTGCTAATTAACACGTTGGAGCATGATGTAGAAATTCCTCTCACTTCTGGAGAAGTTTTCATACAACTCTTTTAATTTTCAGCTGTCGGATGGAACAAATTAAAAAATATCGATGATAAAAATTAACAAAAATGTGTCAGAAAAAAAAAATGAGTTTGTAAATAACACTACCCTAATTTGCAATGGCAACTTGCACTAAGATTTCAGCATGAAGAATAATATTAATTTTGGAGACCAACTTGTTCTAGAGTTCTTGTACATGAATCGAAACATCTAGTGAGATTAGAGCAGAAAGTTTAGTTAGAGTCAAATGGCTTTGAAAACAAATAACTATACACCAGATTAATCAAAATTAATCAATTATATTTGACAAGACAAAGATATCTGTAATCTCTCCATATTATTTATCTATCAACCTCGATGTTTGCCGAGACAAGAATTGGTAGGTAGTGGGGGAGCCTTTATATTTTCTTTTGAGGGCTCGAGGTTAATACATAATACTTCCAAAACACTGGGTAATTGATTGGATCTCTTTACAAAGGCATCAGTTTTTTTCCACCTTTGTGCGATAAAGAAATTTCCCACTCTTGCAGTCTTGCTTTGGAGAGCATTCTGTCACGTCATGAATTGTATACACGAGAGAAACTTATTTGCAAAACGCTATACATTTTATTTTAAACTTATCACGTACCGCTGTGTGTTTTAACTTAAACGCTTGTTTGGAAGTGAAAAAAGTTGAAAAAACTTTTGATGAAAGTATTATTGGAACCAATCCTTAGTAAAAGTATAAATGAATCTTATAAAAACGCTTATAGTACTTCTTGCAATTTGGAAGTGAAAAAGGCTAAAAAAGATTTTGGTGAAAATGTTATTGGAATTTGGAACCAACTCTTGATAAAAGTACAAGTGAATCCTATAAAAATACTTGAAGTGTTTCTTGCAATTGCAGAAAACACTTCAAATGCTTTTAGAACTTAAAAATATTTTATCTAAAAACGTTTTCAGTTATTCTAAAAACATTTATAAACGAGCTTAAACTTGCTCGCATGGGTGCACAAATATTTACATGTTCCACGCCTCAACTTCTGTTTAAAAAGTTATGTTTAATTTTCTATAGCAATTTTTATATTCAGATAGAGATTTGATTCTACTGGAAGACACTAAACTGTTTGACCAGAAATGTAGGTAACAATATACAGTGTAGGTGGTTGACTTTTCAGGTTTATGTCTGTGGTTGGAACTGGGTTTATGGACGTGAAGATTAAGAAAGCTTAATTAGGGTAATCAAAGTATGTAGTTTGGACTTAGGGTTTGGGCCTACCAAATTTCTTTTAGTTTGTATGTTTGCCAAGAGCCGGAAACCGAATCGGCACCCTGATCATTTTAATTATTCTTGCAACATAAGTCAACCACCAATTCCTCCATCCCCATGTGAAAAATGTGTTTGCTTGTGCTTGTGATTCAGTATTAGTGCAGATCTTATTCTAATCAACATTAACAGCACTTTAATCACAACAAGTGGTCCATTAGTAATGGTGCAGACCGCGGTTCCCAATAAACAAAAGAAAATTGTAGGAGGTCTCGGATTTGATACTCCGAGTTGGAAAGTTTGCTTGACTGTGACCACGGGTAGGAATTCCCCCTAGTCTCTCCAGATCCCGAAGGGGTGGATAATTGTAGCTTGTCACCAATTGTCCCCGAAAGAAAAATCATTAACAACACTTTAATTACCATATTTGGTTAAACCAAGTAAGTAATGATGATTAAATTATGAGGAACAACAGTACATTTCTGTATATTATTAAAAGTAAATATTTCTTACATTCGTGTTATCATACTACAACACTAGCACTTTTTATAGACAGCATTATTCACCCTAGCTCACACAACCACTATCTCACACTTACAACTCGTTGGCCAAAGCTGCAGCTTCAAGTAGAAACACCGGCGAGTCATCTAGTTTCTGGTTACTCCCGTCGGTACCGCAAACTTGAACGATAAACTTGATGTTAGATGTGCCAGAAGGAACTGCTAGGTCATCGACGTAAAATGCTCCCACTCGTGCCGATCCAAGATACTCATGCACCCTTTCTGGCGCTGCTCCTGGATGGCCAAGTGCTCCTTGAGCTAGTTTTTCAACATAGATATTATAATTTGTGGATGGATAATCGTTCCCGTCTTTCAATTTCCAAGTGATTTTAAGACTAACGCTCTTGGAACCCTCAGATCCTGTTGTCCATTTGATATATTCACCTTCGACAAGCCATGAATCAGAAGGCGGAAAATCTGAATTCTGCCCACTAGTCTTAATTGAAATATGACCAAGCACTGCATAGTACTCTGTTGAATTCTGAGTACCCTCCTCTGACATGGACTTTGGTCTCCTTTCGTCAAATTCAGGCTTCGACCTGTAGCACAGAGCATGTATTTCTGTTAGTCTGTATCCATTCATTCCGATGCTACTCTCCTGTATGACCCATCCAGGGGGAGTTCCTGGGTTTCCAAGTTGACGTGTCATTATCACTTCATCAAATTTGCTTGAGAATTGGTTCAGGTTCCAGTTTACAAGAAGTACCGACTTTCTTTCGTTCAGGGTAGAAGAGAAATTAAGATGCAAGCCTAGTCGAGAATTAATATCTGATTTCACCTGCATTAATTGGAATATTCAGTTCAAAACTTGTCTGCAAGTGCACTACAAACAAAAGATTCTAGGGCAGCATCCACAAGTTGTCTAACTACAATTTGAACAACTTTAGTAACTTCAATGACGGAAGAGAGAGCTTACAGAATACGTTAACTGGAGAGGCAAATCCCCCAGAAGAACATCTCCTTGAAAGAGCCTTGTCGAGAAATCATCACCGTCTTCAAGGTTTCCTTTAAATGTGATGTTTCCTCCTCCGCTATAAGATGCTTCATTGAAACTATATTTGCCAACATAAAGTTTTTGCAAAGCTTAGGCACCGAAACTCTGAAATCTGGTATAAAATAGTGTTTATGCATAAGGTGCCAAATGTTTAGGGTTTAGGGTTTAAGAACTAAAACTTACTCAGCATGAACCTGGATACCATCTGGGGTTGCATTGCCACTAAACACAAGGAACGGCTGTGACAAATCAATAGGAATAAATTAGCATGCTTGACCATCTCAAAGATTTAACAACAATGCACTGCACCTGGAGGCATACTACTGTAAATTTCCCACCGATAGACACATAAAGGGGAAAAAAGCATATTAAGATAATTTAAGCCGGAAGTCTTTCATGCACAGGATTGAAAATTCGAACTTGTTATTATAACATTCCATATCACCAACACTCAAGCTCAAAGACGTAATTTTTTTTCTTCTTATTCTAAGTTATTTTGTTGTCAACAACTAAAATAAGGAAGTAACTCAAATATTTCCATTCACTAAGAAGAACGAACTCCCTTCGAACAACTAGAACTCAGAAAAGATAGTTCAAACTGCAAATTTGATAGTCTTTCAATGAAAAGAGTAGGAAATTAGGAATAAAAGAAGAAGATGGAAACCAAACTGCAATCTAACGGTATCTCATTTGACCAAGAAGCATCTGATACCACAAGGCTATTTGGTCCATACCTGCAACCCTTGGGAAGAAATGTTACACCAAGAAGCATCCGACACTTGCCCTCCGTCAACAGAAACATGATATCCATGACCCTGAACAATAATACAGAAAAATAGCGTTTAGATAACAGGTATATACAGGATATGAAGTTTATGAACTAGGTCACGCTTCCAATATCAATAAATGGCCCACTGCAGTATCAACATAGTCATAACAACCTGATCAAAATTTGTATAGAATGGTAGCACTTTAGGATAATTTTGTACCACCCCCCATGATTTTTCCACGAGGGACCACCAACTGCAAAACAATTGAATTTATTATGAGAAACTTCGGTAAATGTAATATTCATTCTATTAAGAAATCAACCAGGTCATATTCCGATCTAACTGGCGTTGATTACATAAAGTTCTTTTTTCCAACTAACCAGGTAAGCAGTTACAAAAATGTTAGGAAGACGACTGTATCATCATGCCTGCTTTTTTCAGGAAATAATGCATCATTATACTAGCTTTTGTCAAAAGAAGTGGAAATATCATGCCAGATTTTGTCTGTAAAATAATGTCTATGAACTTATGTTACTGGTAGTGGAAATCTGAAATTATAACTAAGGAACTATTAAGGAATAGTTTGTATGCTAATCAATCGAACTACAAGTTTATGAAACTATGCAACCAGGGGCGAGTCAATTACTGATTCTGAGCAATCTGAAAATTTGGTGGTTGATTAGTCTCATAGATCCATCCAGGAGCAAAAATGGCCGTTGATACATCGTCCTTTTTCAGCACATCTAGTGCAACACTTGTCTGATATGCAGAATTATTAGAAAAAACAAAGTGAACTACAAAAACGAGACTCCCGGATAAATCACTTGACCTTTACAACTATTTGTAAAGGCATTAGCCTTAAGAGTTAACATGTCATACTTCATATATAATGGCACTTAAAATACTCATTGGTCAGAGTGAAATATAACCTCGGCCTGTAAATCAAATTACAGCCAAATTTCTTGCTTTTTTGTTTCTTTTACTATTTTCAATCAGTAAGGGTTTGCACATTTCAGAAGTTACGATATTAGAGTGTCACATACATTCCATTGTCCTCCACCGAAACTGCCCCTTCCAAATACATCAATTCCCATGTAGACATCATACTTTCTGTCACCAGCAACATCTGCTGAAAGCCTCGGATAGTTTTGCTGCATGGTACATAAGTTTGACAGTGTGAAAGAAAAGTTAAAAAAACAAAACAAACTCCATAAGGAAGAAGTGGAACATACCTTCCATGTATAGTTCATAAAAATTCCATCACATATATCAAAAAAGGGTTTATTCTTTTCATTCAGTTGATTTTGCCAGTTAAGTTTACCATCAGTTGTAACACTGTCATACCTGCAGAATTAACAATAGTAAGACAAATATAAACTTTAAATTGAACCCTATAACATAAGGGGGCAAAAATATAAGCGACTGGAAGCATCATATCTCCAGACACCCACCATATGACTAAAGAACCAGGGGCTGAGGAATGCATTTTCTGTGTTAAATGGCAGACAAATGCTTTCAAATTAGGGATTTGGTCCGGCTTCAATTCAACCTCCATATTGATCTGCAAGTTGCAGTAATCATGACAAGTAATAACCAAAGTTCAATCAGTCTTGTAAGTTATAACAGAAACTTCCTATTTCTCATATCATCCGTCTTTCCTTGAATTGGTTAAACATAAAAAACCTCAACGGTGATTACTATGCTGACTTGCAAATATAACTTCTTGGGACAGCTGAACCGCAGCATTCATGTTTCCACAAAATACAACGTGCTCCTTTGTGTGTGTACGTTTGTGTTTGCAAAGAACTCAAATGTGTTGTAACTTATAATCCAATTCAACAGTTGACTGGTTAAGAATGTACAAACTTAAAAAACATTTACCAGCCATCCATCGAAGCTCAAAGCAACGGCAAGCTCTGCCAAGAACTCAGCATACATTTCAGCAGACTCTTTTGTCGACAGCAATTTGTTGCAAATAAGCTTCCCTTCATCCCATTCAGTGATGAAGGTCCCCAACACCTTGGATTCCAATATACAAAACCGATAAAGTTAGATTCCGAAATTCCTTTCAATCATTCATTTGGAACTATGAACGGCTAGAAAGCAAAACATCTCATGATCCACAACCGAAACATAACCAAATCAAAGAGTTCCCAGAAAAAACAACAGAGGACAACAATCCCTCTATTTCCCAACTGAATTCTCACACCCTGTCTTAAACTTACAAAAAGTCAACTCATTTCCACATTAATCACTTGAACACACAAAACCCAAATTCCAAAACATGTTTCCTTAAATTCCCCAAATCCCGAAGTTTCAAATTACCTTAACTCCATGTTTGTGAGCAGTATTGGTCCAACACGGAGGCGGAAGAGTGACAAGACTATGCGAAAAGTAGATGAAAATATCGATCAAATACCAATGCCATATCGCATACGCGTTCGGATTGGTCCCTCCCTGGATCCACTTATCATCGCCATAGCCTCCGGCCATGTCGTGGCAAACAATCACTCTGGGCCTGTCGGGCAGCGACAGGGAAGGCGACCCGGATTGCAGAGCAACCGTGGATTTGTTAAAAGGGTAGTGAAAGGACTCGAAGTAGGACCTGGACTCGAGCTCTTCGAGGGTTTTGATCGGATATGAGATGGGTACGGCGGGTTGGGTCGGGTCGAACGGCGGAGGGGTCGGGGCGGAGGATTGGTGGTCCGGGGCGGACATTTCGAAGAAGGGGAAGACTATTTGGGCTTTTCGGCGGATCAGGCGGAGGAGATTGAGGAAAGAGATTAGGGTTTGGCGGCTAATATAGGCGCGAAGACGGGGAAGAAGCATGTGACGGAGACAGAGAGAGAGAGATTGAGGTCGTTGTAGTGGTTCTCTGTTTAATTGGTGGGAAATTGGGAATTTTCAAAAGCAACAAAAGACAGACTTCAACTTGATTCGGTCAGGCCACTATCACAAATGCCATACACTTTTTGGTCTGTCGGAAAAGGATCCGATCCTTTTCGTGAGGTTTCCGTAATCTTCATCTTTCATCTTACATTACATTGTACGGTCAGAAATTATTTAAAATTTAAAATTAAATATAAATGGTACTTAACGAAAATTAACCACACCATATATGATATATAGACATGATTACGAAATCCCCAGGAAAATGATCTGGATCCGGCGAGGATCCTTTTCTGTCAATGTCAACAATACAAGAGGAAAAACCTTGGCTGCGCCGTACCTGGTCACCAGTCAGGCCGCTTTTACAAATGCCAGAGCCTGTTTGGTGCCTATTAGTAGTTGTACTTACATTATTCGTGTTTGACGTCTAACCATTCAGCTGATCAGATTTTTTTTATTCAAGTTTATCTTTGAACTGCGAGGGAGAATAATTTTATAAGGCAGCTGACCATATCATCTGTCACACACCTCTCACAAAAATATCACTTTATACTGACTCTGGACCATGGCTCGAAAATGACAAGAAAGTAAGAAACAATTGATACAGATGTTTCCTGTTCCGGTTTTCCCCACGAGGAATTTTCAACATCTGCATCTGCCCCAGAGTGTTCTTGTGAAAACACCATTATTTGGATCGAGTGGCCATTACTGTTCAATCTGCCTTGTAATCTACCAAATTGTAAACAAAGTAGCTTTGATTTCCTTCTGTCTGTAACATGGTTACAAAGAACGTAAATCAAATAAGGCGAGTAAAAGGGACCCCCAATATCGAAAACTAGCAGGAGCAAAAACTCTTTCACCTGCAAATTTGTCTCCCAACCGTTTTTGTTGCATCTGTAAGTTTTGTCTTTTGAACAAGCTTGGGGATGCCTTGGTAACTTTGCTTTGGTCCAAATATGATCCCCATGCGGCTTGAAATTCTTCCTATCACCTTCGAGATTTTTGAAAGGCTTTAGACTTCCAATCTTCCATAATGTCTGGATGCCCGAAATCACGTTCTGTATATTTATGCCTTCAAAGCAAGTCTTCTGTTCCTGTTAACTTTGCAAATTCACTTTCGTCGATAGCCCCCTTTTTGAGCTTCTTCAGCAAGCGGTATTCTCTTGCCAACTCATCGTCATCTTCAGCTGTCTGGATAGCACGTCTTTGCTTACCTGTTTTCTTCCTCATTGCAGCATCTGAAGCATTTGGGATCTTTTTGATTTTTTTGATGTTTCGGTTCTTGCTGTTTTGCTTCTTTCTTCGATTGTAGATTCTTCTTTAGTGACAGTACATAACGCCTCAATATCATACAAACAAACAGTAAATGATTAAGGGAGTTCTTACTTAAATTTGATCTCCTCCAAGTTCATGTCTTCAACAGGGATGAAACCCTCTGTGGAAAGCGAGTGGTGCTTTACCTCAGGCATTGCAGGGAGCTGCAGTAGTCCGAATCCCATGCCCAATTTCCCGACTTCAAGTTCTTTCCACCTGCATTAAAACATAAATTAGAGAAAAATAAATTTCTTGGCCTGAATTAGTACATGGCACTGTTAGACACCTGAAAATGTATGAGCAGTGATGTTCTTTATATGCACGCATGTAAGAAACAAATGCTCTTAATCCCTTTTCCATGACATCGCGGTCCTTTTTTGCGGCTGATCGAATCTGAAACAAAGTTTTAAAACGATGTCACTTAAACTACTGAAAAATCTCATCAAAATATTCAGAAAGTAACCTATCACTAAAATATATTGGACCAAAAACTTTGACAATAAGAGAGAGCACCTAAAACCAAACTCGTATTTTCAAGACAACAGCATGATGGATAAAACTGATTTAATGAATAGCATTGAAATACATGGGCAATGGCATCAATCTGTTTTACATACAAAATGCTGGCATCTTAGGTCACATTGTTGAACAATGTTCACAGAGTTAGAACAGTTGTGACGAGGAATAAATTTAGAATTTTTTTTTCCCACAACAATATTAGCTAAGGGGAAGGGTACCATAACATGGTGCTTACCTGAGGAACAACATCAGCAACATCATCAGAACATTACCTTTCTTGTAGAGGAACTCTTCTTATCCGTAAGAATTCCACATAAGTTTCCTCCTGCAACAGTGCAATGAAAATAAGCACCTTCAACATCATAATGAAAGCAACACAGGAAATAAGAAAAGACAAAATGAGTCAAACAGAGCTGTAGGACAGTTTCGTACATAAGGAAACAATTATGGCATAGTTATGGATGCTATAACTAAACCTTTGGTAATAGAAAAACGATCGCAGTTCCTTGTCTACCCATACGAGCTGTTCGGCCAACTCTATGCACGAAAACATTTGGGTCTTGAGGGGTATCATACTGCAGTAACAACAAATAAACGAATTATTTTATTTAGCTTTCAAAACTGGTGATGACCATAAAAATGCTACCTGCACAATACAGTCAACGCCTGGAATGTCAAGCCCACGTGCAGCAACATCAGTACATAAAAGGACGCCACTTGAGAGAGATGTAAATGAGGCTAAAGCTTTGTCCCTTGCGGCCTAGAAATTCAAAATTTTGAAAAAGCAAAGAACGATGAGGTCATGAAATACTAACTCAAAAATTGACCGAGTATGCTGATCTGTATTGTTTTACCTGTTTCATCTTCCCATGTAGAGCAATCAAAGGGAAACCCTTCAAAGGGCCAAGCATTGGAAGAACAAGTCCCCAGTAGTCAACACAAGCACAAGTCATGAACTATCTACAAAAGAAAACACAGAAAAATACGAGAATCACTTTGCAAAGCAAAACAACTTTTAACCTCGAAAGTAATTCGACCACATTCACTAAAACATACTAATCTCAAGTTACTCACACAATGGTCTTGTTAGACTTATTCTTAACAAGAAGATCCACAAGCTGCGACGGTTTCTTGTCTGCCTCACACTCCAGATACTGTATGTAGAGTGCACAGTCAAAGACGGAAATAATTCAATAATAGAGAAGCTAGACATTATGAACAAATTAGTATTTGTTGACGTTATGTTATAGAGCATACCTCAAGGGCAAGGCCAGAAGGTGTTTTAGAAGAGGCTAATTGTTTCCTTAATATCGAATCACTCGATTTTGTTTCGGCTCATACTTCTACCCTCACAGGATTCCTTAGTCCTGCTCTAGCCAGTTCCTCAACTGCCTCAGTTTGAGTAGCTGAAAAGAGACCAGTTCTTCGGAGCTTAGGTAATCGAGACATAATATCATTTATCTGCTTCTGGAACCCCATATCCAATAGCCTATCAGCCTCATCTAAAATCAAAATCTGCAACAATTATCGACGAAATGACCCTCTGTCAGCCATATACACAATCAAATTCCATGAAACAAATTTCAATCAAATCCCAAAAAATCAAATTTCAATCAAATCCCAAAAAATCAAATTTCAATCAAATCCCAAAAAATCAAATTTCAATCAAATCCCATCAAATGCGACTCCATTTACAAATGCATTACCTCAAGGTTCCGCAAATCCAAGCCATCAATGCGTTCCATAATGTCGAATAGTCTTCCCGGTGTCCCGATCAACAAGTTGGCTCCTTCCTCCTCAATTTGTTTCATGTCTGATTTCACTTGCCCTCCACCAACCAAAAGCACACACTTGATATTCGGCAGCGTCGAAATGAAGGGTTTTGCGACATTGTATATTTGCGAAGACAGCTCCCTCGTCGGAGATATAATCATTCCCATCACCTGCACAAGCACAAAATTTTCTTTTTCATTCTGTTTCTCTTCCATTTTTCGGCAACCAAACAATGTCTAGCAAGTAAACATTTTATTTTCTCGGCAACCAAACAATGTCTAGCAAGTAAACATTTTATTTTCTCGGCAACCAAACTGTGTCTAGCAAGTGAAACGAAAGAAAAATAATTAATGGTGTGGAGCAGACCTCTTGAGGTTTTGGAGTGGTTGAAGCTCGCCGGAGTATCTCCACCATCGGGACCACGAATGCTAGGTCCTTGAAGCTGCACAGTAAGGGGATTGTGGCGGCGTGAATCGGAGTGCAGAACTCGAACCCGCCTTCGGACAGGGCTTCCAGAACCAGTTCGGAGAGCGGCGGCTTCAGGTCGCAGAAGCGGGTGTCGCTCAAGGCGCTGTTGGGGTTGGAAGAGTCGGCGTCCATGGCTTTCTGTTTTTCTTCGCGGTTCGCACCGTTAGGCTTTCGGCGGTATAAAGGTTTCTCCTATATTCTCAACGACCTGTCGTTTTAGGGTGGGCATCAAAACGCCCAACCGGGCGATCCAAATTGTCACGTGCGGTTTCGTTCGGCCCAACTTTGGTTCAAATAAAATGTGATACGTATCCAAACCGGGCCGTGCGGACCATGTCGTTTGGTTGAAGGCAATGCCACGAGGAATGTCGGTTTTTGTCACAAGTGAAGACTGATGTTTTCATGCTTCAGAGCACCAAGAATCTCAGCGCCATTGATGAGATTGTAAGCGAGTTTCTGTGAGCTCGGTGGCCAGCAATGGAAGTCCGACTCGGTTTTCTGATATGGGTTACGGTCATCTTAACGATTTTGGACCGAGTTAACTCGGTCTCCGCTAGCTGCCATTTCAGTGTCGTCGACGATGACAAGCTCTATAACTACACTTTGGACTCTCCCATCCCTTTCTTCCCTCACGGCGTCCAAAGCGAAGATGGGTACTCTCTCTCTCTCTCCCTCCCCATTTCTCTCGCCATTTCTCTGCTACTTGATATGGGTTTTCGGATTATTCATGATTGTTAATTGTACCTTGTAATTTCAAGTTATTTCTTCTCACTTTCAATGATTTTATTCAATCTTTTAAAGCTGAAATTTGATGCAATTTGTGGAACATTTACCTCATCTCCATGTATTTTTCTTGTGGGCTTTGATATGCATGTCGTCCAACTGTTTGATTGCTGTGGTTTTGCTATGAGCTTTATGATTTCTATGTTAAATACATGAAGTTCTTGAAGTTGTGCAAATTAACGTGCTTCTGTCCTATTAAGCATTTTCGAAACTGGTTTTCAATTTTTCA